ACTGTAATAAATGAGATGATATCTGTGTCTTAGCCAGGAACCTCTTGAAAGCAGAATGTAAATTGAGGATTAAAGTGCTGATACTCTGGATGGCTTAATACCAGAGGAATGAGGGTTAGAAAAAGGGGGTCATGGAGGGAAGTGCCATAGATGGAAACAACTCTGAGACAGTGATTTGGTGCATGAGATTTATTGGGGGAACATTTTAGGGAGTAACATCTTTAAGGGAAGGGAGGAGGAAGGTTGAGGGGAAAGTTGAATTGCATCAGGAAGTCTCATCTCTGGGATTTGGATGGCCCTTTATATTGGTCCCAAACTGAAACAAAGGCTCTGGGCCTATGTACTCTGTCAATCCCCAGTCATTGATTGAATCCAAGCTAGAGGCAGGATAACAAAACCTGGGGTAGGGCAGCTGATTATCTCCAGTGAGATATAGTTATGAACAGTCAGCCCCCAGCACTCCTGGCAGCTGGACTTTGGGTTTGTTTCTGTAGGGAGGAATGAGACATGATGAACTCCTGCAGTCCTGGCCACTGCTTCACAGAGAGCCACATAGTGATGCAACATAGCACAGCAGAGATATATCTATATTTAGACGGAGTCTCACACTGTCTCCCATGCTGGAGTGCAGTGGCGTGACCGGGTTCAAGTGATTCTCCTAGCTTAGCTTCCTGAGTAGCTGGGATTACAAGTGCCCACAACCACACTTGGGTGATTTTTTGTATTTTTAGTAGAGACGGGGTTTCACTGTATGGGCCGGGCTGATCTTGAACTCGTGACCTCAAGTGATCTGCCCGCCTTGGCTTCCCAAAGTGCTGGGATTATAGGAGTGAGCCACTGCACCCGGCCATGCTTGTTGTCTTTAGCCACACAGGCTTTCTTCAGGTTTGCAAGGAAAAATCACCCCTCAGAGCAGTAGGTGGAGGACAGAGAAAGGAGAAATTTATTTGCATGGTTCTTTTCTGTCTCCTATTTTTCACCGATCAGAGTTTACCCCACGCCTGTTAGGAAGACATATTCCATGCTCTACATTGTGGAATTCCATTCACAAAGTGCACTCTCACTGGGGGAGAGAAAGGAGGAGACCACCAAGGGAATTATAGAAAGCATATCCAGTTGAGTAGATAAAGCATGTAGCCTAATACTTGGCTCAAGTAATTAATGCTCAAATAGCTGACACTTACATAGCACCTTACTGTGTACCAGCCACTATTTTGAGTACTTTACATTGATTAACTTATCTCATCCTCACAATAATTTAATGGGAAAGATACTAATACTAATATATTTACATTTTACAAATGAGGATATTGCAGCTCAAAGGGTAAACAGCTAGTAAGCAGCACAGCAGAGCTGTGATAACCAGGTGTCATTTCAGAGTCTATGCTCTTGGCTGGGTGTCGTGGCTCATGCCTGTAATCCCAGCACTTTCGGAGGCAGAGGTGGGAGAATCACCTGAGGTCGGGAGTTTGAGACCAACCTGGCCAACGTGATGAAACACCGTCTCTACTAAAAATACAAAAGTTAGCTGGGTGTGGTGACACGTGCCTATAACCCCAGCTACTTGGGAGGCTGGGGCAGGAGAATTGCTTGAAGTCAGGAGGTGGAGGTTGCAGTGAGCTGAGATTGTGCCACTACACTCCTGCCTTGGTGACTGAACAAGACTCCATCTCGAACAAAACAAAACAAAACAGAGTCTATGCAATTAGCCATTCCACGATATTGCCTCTCAATGGCTATTATTATTGCTATCACTATTGACATATGTAAATATTTTATTATCTCTATAAATATCATTAGCAAAATACATTCAAATATGTAAAGCTTTGCAAAAGTTTCTGTATTTTTTATGTAGTAATTTTTAATCTTTATTTTAAAACTAATATCAGAAAATGTTTATAGATATGGTAGCAAGGCAGAAAGTCTTGGAATTTAATCGTTTCTTTTTTTTTTTTTGGAGGCAGAGTCTCACTGTCTGTCGCCAGGCTGGAGTGTAGTGGCGTGATCTCAGCTCACTGCAACCTCCGCCTCCTGGGTTCAAGTGATTCCTCTGCCTCAGCCTCCTGAGTAGCTGAGACTACAGGCATGTGCCACCACACCCAGCCACTTTTTTGTATTTTTGTGTTTTTGTATTTTTAGTTTCACCATGTTAGCCAGGATGGTCTTGACCTTTTGCCCTCGTGATCCACCCGCCTTGGCCTCCCAAAGTGCTGGGATTACAGGCGTGAGCCACCATGCCCGGCCTCAAGTTTCTTTATATGGTAGAAGACAAGATTATAAGAAAAAAGAAAATATGCAGGGCTAATTCAATAAAAATATATTCGGCATAATACTTCTTGTACCAGGAAGATGACAGCCTGGGCTGGGGTTAGAAAATCTGCAAACACAGAGATTCTAATTGCATTTCTGTCATTAACTTATTTGTTAATCATAGTAGGTCATTTAATCTCTTTACTTGTTTCCATATTTGTAAAATAGAGTAATTAGTAAAAGCTATACCATATATATCATAGGATTTTTTTTTGAGATTAGAAATGAGAAAAAAAAATCTGAAATATAAGAAAAGGAAAATAACCTATTTAAGTGTCTTAGAAGTACTGCATTTAAAAAATCTCCAGATAAAAATATAGGTAATTTTTATAATTTTATAGGGAATCCTAGTTAGAATTATTTCCATACTTTTATTTTTAATGAGATCATAATTTTTATTGCATCCTGCACACTAAGCAATATCTTCATCCTACTGATATAACAAAAACATATATCAAGAATAAATAATTTATTCAGTAATTCCTACTTCATCTTTTAACAAAGAATGTTTGATGTAAATATTACCATCTTGTTCAATATATCCACACAATCTCGAATATTACAAGAAATCAATTTGGAACCTAAGAATTGATTTTTTTTCAATAATTGGATGAACTTAAATTAACTACTTTTGTGTTTGAGATTACACCAGATTAGTATTTTTAATGTTTCCTAAGTTTTTTCTTTATACACTGCAAAGTAATTCTTTTCTATTATCTCACAGTTTTAGTTCATTTTGCCATGCCTGTGAACAAAACAGTCTATGCTCTTAACCACTCCTCTGTATACATTTCCATATTCTGAAGATGAGCTCTATTTACTACTTCAAATAACTTACACTTTTGAGTTTATATCCAAGTTCTATGCACATCTTTGTACCTTACCCATTCATATATGTTTTCAATTCTATTAGGCTTTTCTTCTTATATAAGATTTTTTTCATATTTATTAAATTATTTATAGAGCACAAACTTCTTTATAGATATATTTTTAATTTTTATGATTACTTAGAAAATGACTGTACTTATATTTAGAGTAATATAAAATTGGAGACATGCATTTCTGAGTAATTATCTTTATAGTGGGAGTTCTCTGGTTAATTTTTATTTTTTTCATAATATCAATAGTAAAGATTAAAAGTAATAATGTATTCACTTTTCAATGTAACATATGATTGCTATTTGTCCTAGCAAAAATTCTCATTTATTCATATGTAACTGCCTTGAAATTTGTGCCTTAAGGACAAAAAAAGGTCACCAATCCCTCCAACTCCTGGTTCTTTGTCAAAAATGGACACAGTTAATGAGGTTTGTTTGGTACAGAACAAATTCTCAGACACAGATAGAGATCCTTTCAATGGAAACAAATTTGTTTGGCTTTACCAGGTTACTTAGCGATTAATAATAGCTTTGAGATGCAGGTCAGAGAGGTCATTGTACCAGCTTGCCAACACAATCTAAATGTGCAGCTAGCCTGGCTCTGTGGGTGCAGAAGCCCCCAAAAATACTATGCATAAAGTAAAACAGGCTATTTTCTGACTCCTTTTTTCATATTAATAAGCAATTTTCAAGAGAAGGGTGGCAAAATGGGGGCCATGCCACTCCAAGTAATTCATTTATTTTGCAATTTAATCTTATGTTGAAAAAAATTGCTCTGCTTCAGTAGCATAGCTTGGTGATTTTTTAAACGTCAGTGTGTTTCATAAGTAACCTTGTATGAAGTATTGTATTAGTAGCCTTTAACAGAAAATTGCAACAAAAATATTTCTAGACATTGAAATAGAAAGGAGAATCTTTTTTATTTTTGGAAGATTTTCCTTTACTTTCCTTAGATACCGTTGAGAAAAATGCTCAGATGATTTGTTTAAAACTTTTCTTACAGAACTAGACACTAAGTTCTATATCTGCTTTTTAAAAAAAGTATAGTACAATTTCAAAATATTCTTTTAACACAAATTGTTAAATTTTTCCTTGAAAATGAAGGATTTATTTTTTTCTATATTTGATAATATCATAATCAGGTTAGCAGGTGTTTTCACACAGTATACTTAAAGCTTATTTTTTGTTTATATTTCTTAGATACACATAAATAAATGATGAAAAGTTTCATTATTTTAATAGAATTTATTATACTTTGAAAAGACTTGCACTTTCTCACCTCATTTAGTTTTTATTCAAATTATCTATACAATTGGACAAAATGTCAACCTTTAAAGCGCAAAATAATATATATATAATCTTACTGGGATTATTTCAATGTCAACTGAAGTAAGCCTACAATAAATTAAGCATGTGTATAAAGCCTGTCACATTTTAAAAATTAGATCATTAGTATGCAAAATAAATGAGTAGAGATTTGAAAATACAAATCCAAAATATAAAGGAAAACAGTAGTTCAAAGGCTTTCTTGGGATGTTTAAATATGTCCAAAAAAGTTAACCTTCAAGCAAAAAACCCTGATAATTTAGTAAAACACTTATATTGCATTTGATATGAGTATTTTCTCAGCTTTGAATTAATTATAAACTCATTTGATCTCAAAAACGTAATCACAGAAAAATCATATAAATGCTTTCTAAATATTGCAAAGATTAATGCAGAAAATGCAGGTAAGATAGATGGATGACACCACTGATTTGGATGGATATGGATGATGGTTGCCCCTCGTAACTGCAGATTGTTTTGATGCAGGAAGGCACTGGAGGAGTTTGCAGAAATGAAAGAACGAGAAGAGAAGAAGGCTAACCTCGAAAGGGAAGAGAAGAAAAGAGATTACCAAGCTCGAAAGATGCATTACCTCCTCAGCACAAAGCAGGTTGGTCTACCTGTCCCTGACAGCTCCCGTAAGCCACTTGGGCCCCTCGCCTGACAGAGATAAACTAGCAGGCTGAATGGGACATGACTTGTTGAAAAGATATCACAAAGACACTACTTCGAGTTCAATTTCGTGCTTCTGTGTAGGTGCGCGCAGGGACCATGACTCGTCTGTGACAGCGGCTTCATAGAGGCAGCCGCTGCGACGCTGGCAGAAAGGTCCAAGTCAGCAGTGTGATCTGCCACGGTGATAACACAACACGGAGGGCATAACCTCGCTTTCAAAACTCATTCTGAGTGGCTCTTTGTTGTGTTGTGAATTGATCAAGAACTAACAAGTTATTAGGCTGAGGTGGCTTTCATGCTTTTCTCTTTTTATTGAGCTTACGTTGAGATTAAAACCATTTTTTGACCGTTTCTAAATTTTGATGGAAATTTTCAAGTAAAGCTCTTAATAAAATTGCTTCAGCAATTACATCTTCTTATAGAAATGTTAAGCATGGAATTCGGAATACTTAGACATTTATTTTACAATGCTTGCTAAAATTTTAATACCCTGAGTTTTGTCCTGGTTACTAGGAAAGAATACATGGCATATGGAATAATCTCAGAAAGAAATATGGTTTAAGGAAAGCATGAATTTGGGTTGACGTGTGTTTTGTTACTAGGGATCTAGTCAGGAAACTGGCAATTTCTGGGTTTTACTTTTTTCTCATAGACCTTCAAGTTCAGTGTTGTAGTTCTGGCCAGAGGCACATAGTCAAATTTCTCCAGGCAGGTACAAGTCAAGTCCCAGTGGTGAAGGGTGAGCCCTAAAACTGAATGTCATCCGTAGAGGCATCCAAATTAAAAAAGCATATTAAATCCTGGGCTGGCCATCTACATTTGGAACATAGATCGTCCACATCTCTAGCCTCTACTTGGTTGTCTAAATACCAATATTTTTAATTATGGTGACTATCTTCATATTTACTTGGATTTGCAGAGCTGAGTCATCTTCATTTAACAGGTAAGGAAACTAGCTCAGAGGTGTTATGTGGCTGAGTTAGAGATACCAAGCCAGTAGAAATAAATATGGCACTCAATCTGAGGCCCCTAGACTTCAAATACTTAGGCCATCATTTAAAGATACTTTTTAAAATGAAAACTCAAAATATTTTAACTTTTAATTGTAAAATCTATAATAGTAAAAATTTTAGTTGTATAATTGAAGTGCTACATTTTTATATAAAATTTCAAAACAAAAATTCCTTTTAGAAGAAATGTTTTAACTTTAATTACTAGTAATTTCAACTTTCATTAAACTAAGAGTACTATTAATACCCTTATTTCTTTAAATCTGATAATATTTTATTTTTTACAATACAGTTGTTAATTTTAGTAACTCTGAACTGTCTTTATACGCTGAATCTTTCTTAATATGAGTTCTAGTTGTGCTCCATGTACTTATGATAGGTATTATAATGCAGAAAACAATTTTTAAAATAGCTAAATCTTTTTTTTCCTTTTTTGAAGAGGGAGTGAGAAGTAGTCTCACTCTGTTGCCCAGGCTGGAGTACAGTGACGCAATCTTGGCTCAATGCAACCTATGCCTCCTGGGTTCAAGCAATTCTCCTCCCTCAGCCTCCCGAGTAGCTGAGATTACAGGCGCCCGCCACCACGCCGGGCTAATTTTTGTATATTAATAGAGACAGGATTTCATCATGTTGGTCAGGCTAATCTCGAACTCCTGACCTCAGATTATCCCCCCTTCCTCAGCCTCTCAAAGTGCTAGGACTGCCGGTGTGAGCCACCGTGCCTGGCCTAAAATAGCGAAATTAGATTTAACTGAGCATTTGTTAATTCTGTTTTATTCAAGGTTGTTGAGATACTGAGCATCTAGTGAAATGATTTAGAAAGTCCATGAAGACTCAGTTTTTTTACTAATAAAAATAATCTGATAGCAAATACCTACGGGGTGCTTACCATGTGCCAAACAGCATTATAGAGACTTCCTATGTATTATTTCTTTAACTAATTTGATTTTATTTCCATTTTAAAGTTAAACATGTGGTCCGACAAAGATTTCACAAACCTTACTAAAACACTTGAATCATAGACCTTAATGGATTTTCAGATATTACCATTGTGTTTTAAGTGTGTTTGTGTTAACAAATACAAGCTGTCCATGCGTTTGTCTTCTTCTTTATACCACATAGGCTGCGGATAATATCAGTGTATGTAAACTTTACTTTAGTGATCCCTAGTCTCCAAAACTCCTTGGCATCCAATAAAATAATTATTTTTGAGGCACTATGGCACAGTTGAAAGAACCCAAGTATTGTCATCAGACAGAGCTGAGTTGACATCCCAGCTCTCTCACTAAGGGTATTATATCAGGAGATTACCGTCAGTTTTCTGAGCCTCTGCTTCCCTCTGCATTTGTGGGATAATGAAACCCACCTTGGAAGAATGTTATGAGGATTAAACGTAATGTATTTAAAATAGTGCCAGGCGCTTAGAGGCCATTAAGTAATGGTAACAATCATATTATTGGAATTTAACCTGCCGAAGGTAAACTAAGGTTTTCTACTTTAATTTTCTTCTATTAGTGTTACCAATTGGAAGCATTCATTGTCTCCTTTTCTTTCTTGGCTTTCCTTTAGTTATTAATAAAAATTAGTTACAAATCTCTATACTGGTGTCGTCACCTCCATTTTACACTTGGCTTCACAGACCTGAGGACATTACAGGTGAAATTATGTTCTCAAATCGCTTCCCTCGGAGAGGAATATTACAAAAATATCGGGGATTTTAATTTGGATCTAGCAGGTTGGTAAACTTCATCACAGTGATCTTAGCATTTGATCACAGGTAACTAGAGATGAAAAGACAACCCTTTGAACCTGTGGAGGCACCTTTGTTCCCAAGGCAAACTGTGCTTGTGTGGTGGGGAAATAGAAGACACATATTTCAGCCTGAGTGTTGTTAGTAATTTTTATAGCATGTCTTGGCTATTGGGCAGAAATTAAGCTGCAGATTTTGAAATATTCTTTACTTAGTTGTTTACACATTAATTTCATTGATTAAGAGTCTTAATTTCAAATTGTATTTACAGACATTGAAGTACAAATAAAAGGCAGTAAGAATTAATATTTATTTTAAAAGATTTGTATCAATTTTAACTTTTAATTCCTGCAGATATTTGAAAACTCTCCAAAAAATATTTGTTTGAATAATTTTATGAACCATATATCAGGATAGGAAAAGCTTTATTGATCTGCTTAAAAGGAATACATCTAATAGCATTTTTAGCAAAGAGAGGGACATTAGTTATATTTGTGATTTATATTGTTGATTGGTGATTATTTTAGGAATGACGTTAGTATAGTTTATAGAATAATAATTTTTACATTAAATTTTTATTGTTCTAATAGCTTACTTTAGAAGAGTAGAAATAAAACTAATTTTGACAATGCTTCAAAAAAGATAATTTTGTAAGCCAAAATTGTATTTGTGAACTCAGATATACATGATATAAGATTACATGTTTTTTAATGTATTAGTAATGTTAGGATGATTATGGTGATATGCTAATATATTCTGATTGCAAAGTTTTAAAGTCAGGTTTAATCCTATTTTTAGTAGAAATCTAAAGTATACCTTAAAATAGTTCCAAAAGCTATTACTAATTTTAATGGTATTAATTATCTCATCTTTATTCAAGCAAATATATTAGTGCTAATAGAAATTACACAAGTAAATAACTAATATTGCAATGAGTGAATTAATAGACCCCTCAGGGTTTTATTAATTAAAAAGTTCAAGTCATATTAAAACACCTTTTGTATATGTTTATTTCAATCAGAAAGCTGAATATGGTAACTTATTTGCATAAATAATCAATCACCATTTACTAGTAGTAATAAGGTTAATTTGTTGTTACAAACATAATAGGATTAGTCAATTATATTTCCCAGAAAATACTATTTGTTATGCACCCCATCACCTGTAAAATAGGATTGGGTTTAACACTCTTATTAAATGAACACATAAAAAAATCTTTGTCCCTGTAAAAGTTCTATGAAAGGAAGGCTAATTTTGGTTGCTTTGGATAAAGTAAAATGCAAATATTGCTTCCATTTGTAAATTTATCTTTCTGTAAAGATTGATTATTTAATAAAGTTATTTATTTTGATTTAGTAACCAGTCAAACTAAATCTAACACATATAGTATATATTTCCTTTGAAGAAAATCTCATTTGCAGATCTGTTTTATTCCAAATAAACTGACTTTCATTCCCTTGCCCTTGTTCTTGGGTAATAAATTATGTTGTCTGCTCCACCTACTGGTGGATGCATGCAAAGGCCTATTGTTGGATTCATTAAAAGATGCCTGTAAAATATTGTCAGAATTTTTTAGAATCTTCCTGGAGATTAGAAAAATTATAGATACAAATGTAAAATTCAAGACCTAAATTATAAAAGGTTAGTTTGGAAATCCTGGTTATTATATGCAATTATACACAGTAATACTTATTAGTAAAAATGTTACCCTGTTTTTCCATTTTAATGTGATAATTAAAAAGGTAAATAAATCCAAAATATACGTATAACTCAGTATAACTATGTATATTTTATTTTGGTGTGGCATTTAAGAGTTTACACATACTGAAATTAAAGCTCAAGTAGAAACAAGTTTAATGAAAATTGTTACACGTTTATAATGGAAATAATTTTCATGTCATAATTTATACAATAGATTTTGGACGTTTTTCCTCACTCCCCACTAAAGTAGTGAAAATATTACTGAAATGACTATTTTAAGTTATTTATTATTTTTAAAAGACTCTATACTGTGATTAATATTGATAAAACTTTAGTTTGAATTATATTTTTGAGGAAGCCAAAATCATTTCAACTACCTTTTTCCTAAATCATATTAAATCATATTTATATAAAGACTGTCTTAATTTTTAAAATTAAACTTGACATAATCATAATTAATTGGTAGTCTGTTGA